GGGGATCAGTAGTATTTATGTTGGGGAGGCGAGCGGCGAGATCAACGGAGTTAGAGGGGAACATAGATCTTGAGCTCGATGGAGTTCGAAGAGGCTCGAAGGCTCAGAGAACAACCGCACAGAGAGGGAGAGAGATTCACGAAGGATTAGGGCTGAACTTGAAGTTAGAAACTTCATTTTATTGTCAAAAGCGGGTCAGGTCGGGTCGGGTTTAAGAACTCACTAAGTAACAGCCCATTACCTAACAATTCAACTCAAAACTCACGCCGATAAAGCCGATATTTTTAGTCTCCCTAATCGGCGGATAAGTGCCTTTATCGCCGATAACTCGTCGATAAACTCATAAAAACGATAACCGATTAAAAATTCTATTTATCCTAGCGGGAAGCTCCCAAATCCGATAACTCGACGATAATATCGGATTATCGGCCGATATTTAAAACCATGCACATATGTTTTGACTCCAGAAAGATTGGTTTATGGTCCTTTTTTTCTTTTGTGTGTGCGTGTGTGTGTATGCTCTATAGGAGCTTGGCGGAGGTACATGTGCTTTCCTTGTAGAAATAAAATCAGAAAGTAAAGAGAAACAAAGTAAAAGAAACTACTGTTACTCATATCCATCATTCATAGTGCTTCCTAATTGTATAGAGCACTACTAATATCTCACCAGCTGCTCTTATATCCATCATTCACAGTGCTTCCTTATTAATGTATACAACACTACTCATTAAAATCTATAAACAAAACTTTCTGAACATAACTTTTTGCTCAAATACAACACTTTTGAAAATGGTAACAAATTATAATATAATTTCTTATAACACTAGTAGAAATTTGAATTTACTATACGGAATATTCTAGACGGAAAAATTTCCGTCTAGGATGTAATATTCTAGACGGAAATTTTCCGTCTAGAATATTCCGTCTAGGATATACTATTCTAGACGGAAATTTCCGTCTAGAATAGTATTGTAGATGGATTTATTTATTTAATTTTTTTTAAATTAACTAAGCATCCTAGACGGAAATTTCCATCTAGTTTGTATCCCAGACGGAAATTTCCGTCTAGGATACTCAGATCAGTTTTTATTTAGGGTTTTTTATTTCTAGGCCCATTTGTTTACTCATCTTTACCTCTAAGCCCAATAACTATTCTTTGTATTCTTAAACCCAAGTTTCTTTTTGTTTTTGCCTTTAAACCCAATTTCTAAAATACTGTATATACAACACTGGTATTCATACCCAAACATGATAAAAACTCTAAAATACCCTTCAATACCCCCACTTAAACCAGACCCCCCCCTCTCTCTCTCCTCATTTTCCTTCTTCCTCAGGTCTTCGTCTTCCTCCTTCCTCAAGGCTTTGTCTTCCTCCTCCGATCCCACCTCTCATGCCCCCTCCAAGAAATCGAAGAAGAAAGGAAGAAAGGCCCATGATTTTAGTGCTTGATGTCTTGAAAAGGCCCACGACGGATCTCGAGGCAGCCGGACACACCTCCACCCTCTCCAACGAGACACTACAATTCTTCAACGATCAACAAGATGCTTGATGATTTTGGCTTCGGGATCTCTTTCGATGACGAGGAGGAGTGATTTCGTGTGAAATCTCATTTCTATATACTCGATTAGGGTTAGGGTCGGGGTCGGGGTTGGGGGGTTAGGGTTAGTTCATTGATGTTCTTTTGTGCTATCCCTTTTTGTTGAACTAAATCTAATTGTAGAATTGGTTTTATCAATTTATGAATGTATCGTTTCTGTTGAACTAAATCTAATTTGTACACAATAGATTTGCAAAGCAAGAGGTGTGAAATCTGGAGAATCTGGAATTTTGTACCTGTAAATTTTGCTTATAAAGAGTTGGAGAGTATGGAGCTTGCTTTGAAGATTGTGAAAGAGAAATTGCTGGGTAGAGTTAATGGAGTCAGTTATGCTATATGTACATTTTGAAGATTTGTGCAATTTTGAAGATTTGTAACATTTTGTAAAGTCTGGAGCTTGCCTTGAATATAATATCAGTTATATTATGTACATTTTGAAGATTTGTAACATTTTTGAAAGCCTGGAGCTTGCCTTGAATATATGATCAGTTATGCTATGTTTTTTGTGAAGATTTGTAACATTTTAAAAAGTCTAGAGCTTGCCTTGAATATATGATTAGTTATGCTAAGTATATTTTGAAGATTTGTGTAATTTTGGAGTTTGATTTGTAACATATTGTTTCAGATTGTAAGTTTTTGAAAGTAGATAATGAAAGTGTTGTTAGTGCAATATCGTTATTGTTTGTGCAATTTTGGAGTTTGTAAGACTGGAATTTTGTGCAATTTTGTGAGTGCTATTTTGTGGAATTTTGTGTAATTTTATGAGTGTTATTTTGTTCTTGTGCAATTTTGTGAGTGCAACCAAGTGTGATAAACTGCAGATCTCTTTGATTGTAAGTGTAGCGTGATAAATTCAAAGTGTAGCGTGATAACCTGTAAGTGTAGCGTGGTAGACTGTAAGTGTAGCGTGATAGACTGAAATTGTAGCGTGGTAGACTGTAAGTGTAGCATGGTAGACTGTACAGGATAACACGCTACACTTACAGGATAACCCGCTACACTTACAGGATAACCCGCTACACTTACAGTCTAACCCGCTACACTTACAGCATAACACGCTACACTTACGGTCTAACCTGCTACACTTACAGGATAACAAGCTACACTTACAGCATAACACGCTACACTTACAGTCTAACACGCTACACTTACAGGATAACCCTTTACATTTACAGCATAACACGCTACACTTACAGGATAACACGCTACACTTACAGGATAACCCGCTACACTTACAGCATAACACGCTACACTTACAGTCTAACACGCTACACTTATAGCATAACAAGCTACACTTACAGTCTAACACGCTACACTTACAGAATAACCCGCTACACTTACAGTCTAACACGCTACACTTACAGCATAACACGCTACACTTACAGGATAACCCGCTACACTTACAGCATAACGCGCTACACTTACAGGATAACACGCTACACTTACAGGATAACACGCTACACTTACAGTCTAACCCGCTACACTTACAGCATAACACGCTACACTTATAGCATAACACGCTACACTTACGATCTAACCTACTACACTTACAGCATAACACGCTACACTTACAGTCTAACCCGCTACACTTAAAGTCTAACCCGCTACACTTAAAGTCTAACCCGCTATACTTACAGGATAACCCGCTATATTTGTAGTGTAACACGCTACACTTACAGGATAAGCCGCTATACTTACAAATAACCCGTTACACTTGCAGTGTAACACGCTACACTTACAGATAACCCGCTACATTTACAGATAAGTGTAGCGTGTTATGCTGTAAGTGTAGCGTGTTATCCTGTAAGTGTAGCGTGTTATCCTGTAAGTGTAGCGTGTTATGCTGTAAGTGTAGCGTGTTATCCTGTAAGTGTAGCGTGTTATCCTGTACAGTCTACCATGCTACACTTACAGTCTACCACGCTACAATTTCAGTCTATCACGCTACACTTACAGTCTACCACGCTACACTTACAGGTTATCACGCTACACTTTGAATTTATCACGCTACACTTACAATCAAAGAGATCTGCAGTTTATCACACTTGGTTGCACTCACAAAATTGCACAAGAACAAAATAACACTCATAAAATTACACAAAATTCCACAAAATAGCACTCACAAAATTTCACAAAATTTCAGTCTTACAAACTCCAAAATTGCACAAACAATAACGATATTGCACTAACAACACTTTCATTATCTACTACAAACTCCAAAATTGCACAAACAATAACGATATTGCACTAACAACACTTTCATTATCTACTTTCAAAACTTACAATCTGAAACAATATGTTACAAATCAAACTCCAAAATTACACAAATCTTCAAAATATACTTAGCATAACTAATCATATATTCAAGGCAAGCTCTAGACTTTTTAAAATGTTACAAATCTTCACAAAAAACATAGCATAACTGATCATATATTCAAGGCAAGCTCCAGGCTTTCAAAAATGTTACAAATCTTCAAAATGTACATAATATAACTGATATTATATTCAAGGCAAGCTCCAGACTTTACAAAATGTTACAAATCTTCAAAATTGCACAAATCTTCAAAATGTACATATAGCATAACTGACTCCATTAACTCTACCCAGCAATTTCTCTTTCACAATCTTCAAAGCAAGCTCCATACTCTCCAACTCTTTATAAGCAAAATTTACAGGTACAAAATTCCAGATTCTCCAGATTTCACACCTCTTGCTTTGCAAATCTATTGTGTACAAATTAGATTTAGTTCAACAGAAACGATACATTCATAAATTGATAAAACCAATTCTACAATTAGATTTAGTTCAACAAAAAGGGATAGCACAAAAGAACATCAATGAACTAACCCTAACCCCCCAACCCCGACCCTGTCCCTAATTTCACACGAAATCACTCCTCCTCGTCATCGAAAGAGATCCCGAAGCCAAAATCATCAAGCATCTTGTTGATCGTTGAAGAATTGTAGTGTCTCGTTGGAGAGGGTGGAGGTGTGTCCGGCTGCCTCGAGATCCGTCGTGGGCCTTTTCAAGACATCAAGCACTAAAATCATGGGCCTTTCTTCCTTTCTTCTTCGATTTCTTGGAGGGGGCATGAGAGGTGGGATCGGAGGAGGAAGACAAAGCCTTAAAGAAGGAGGAAGACGAAGACCTGAGGAAGAAGGAAAATGAGGAAAGAGAGAGAGAGAGGGGGTCTGGTTTAAGTGAGGGTATTGAAGGGTATTTTAGGGTTTTTATCATGTTTGGGTATGAATACCAGTGTTGTATATACAGTATTTTAGAAATTGGGTTTAAAGGCAAAAACAAAAAGAAACTTGGGTTTAAGAATACAAAGAATAGTTATTGGGCTTAGAGGTAAAGATGAGTAAACAAATGAGCCTAGAAATAAAAAACCCTATAAACAATACCTTGTGTGAAGCAAATACATTTGTGCCACAACCTGGATCTGGTTTTGACTTGTGAAGGAGTACTCTAGTATTCACATTGAGTATCTGGTAATAGTGAACGAATAATGAGATTTTCATCAAGAAGAAGCTTAAATGAAAAAATATTAAAAGGAATGTTCATTGCAATGACGAAAACAGCCACCCGTCTTGATCTACCACCATCAAGTTTTTGCTTCTTTATTGCTTGATCTTCTTGAGCAATGTTAGCAGCCATGGCATTGTTCTTCACATTAGTACTGCCAGGATACCTACACAATATAAAAAATGAACATGAATACTATTTAAGTAAAGATTTATTTCATCAGAAGCTTAATGATTAGAGCCCCTCACTTAATAACACCCTTTGGTGGTTTGGTGCTCTTTATTTGTGCCCTATTGTTTCAGTGACAGAGGTAGGAAATTTCTGTTTGAAATATCTATTGAGCTATCTTAATTGGAACAGAAATTAAGAAGTAATCACACTGGAAAATGAATTTACTTTGAGTTTATGAATACTTCCACTCTTTTTCCAGAATGTAGCTGGTGGCATCTTATTTAAGGTGTTTTTTGTTACTTAAGCATCAGCTATTGCTTTGGAATTTACTTGTGCACTTCATTTATGTGTGGTTTGCTGACTTGGACAACATCAAACTTCGTCGTTTAGGTTTATCTCAAAACTGTTGAAAGTCTCAGAAATTGTGAGCTGAAAATTTTGGTTGAGCATAGTTCTACTCTACTCCAACTTTGATCATGGACAAAGACCTTATTGTCTGGCAACTTTCTATTTTGTCATAATCGGAACTTCATTATTTGGGTTTATATTTATCTCGGAATTGTTGAAAGTCTCAGAAATGGTGAGGTCAACAATGATTGAGCATAGTTCTATTGTATTCCAACTTTCATAACGGACAAAGACATTCTTGTCTAGTAACTTTCCATCTGTCATCATCAGAACTTCAAATGAATTATTAATCAACCTGATTTTTAGAAAATATTACATTTTTCTATAAATGTTCTCAAGTTGTAATTGCTAGTTCAATCCTTAAAAATTCATTTGAATTTGATGAACATTACAGATTAAGGCAATCCCCTTTTGTTCAGTTTTTTTAGTTTCTTCCATTCATTTACTTTTTTGAGTTTGTTTTTACATAATTATAGTTAGAGTGCATCGAATTCCTTTAGCAGAAAATCATTCACATTCTATCCAAGTAAAATTTGACAATTCTTCTGTTTTTCCATTTAACTTCAATCCAAAATCATATTCCAATCCCACGTCATGCGGCCATCTTTGTCCGTGTGGTCTATTAACTAATTATGTAGAATTAACTTTAGTTTACAGTTCAACTGAAGGTTTCCTTCTTCAATTACTTCAAATAAAATGCTAGATGACTGGCCTTTCCTTGATCTTCATATATTAATATCTTCATTAATGACCCTCCTTTTAACGTCGTCCATGATTTAGTTCTAGAATTTTTGAATTTAATAATATATTGACATGACAATTGATACACTTTTCAGTCTCGATGTAGTGATTTCTCATATATGCACCCTCAATGACTCGTTTGCATCCAGATTTCAGGCAAATACTCCATTATATTCTACATCAGATACTTGGTAGTTGTTAGTGAAAAACATGCATTGGCAGAATCCTTAACAATTAAGTCTTATTCTATTATGATATATATAGTTAAGTCCAATATATTATTTTAGAAGACAACTAATTGATGTTAACCTTCTAGAGCATCTTTCTATAACTCAAAAGTTCATGCCACGAGACTGAAACTGTGAAACATGATACTCAAGAAGACATTATGAGTTCAAGATGATATATCATGCACAAGTATGCTTTATTGCTACGTATCATGATACTTTTCTAGACAATTTAGTCAATTTATGAAACTTGAGTATCATATCCTTAAGTACAACTCTTATATGCACTGATCTTTACATATTCTTCCAGAATCTGTTACTTTTGATTTGATCACTGCACATTTCATTTATTGTTGAATTGCATCCAAAAAATCTAAACATTTCAGATTTTGGTTCCTCGAGTAAGAAATTATATTTTGCAACATCATGAAGGTCTTGAAACTGTCATCACTTCCCCACCTCTACATAAATGAGGATGTGAACATTATGCATACATTTATTTTGCTCATAACTTCTTGAGCAATAATCAGCGTGATTTATGTCCTTTTTTCTTTGTCAACATTTCTTTTGTTGCCTCTTCTTATCAAGTTATGAATTTTCCTAGTTTCTTTCATGGACTTCATCCACTGCATTTTTATTATAGTGATGCAAAGCATTACTTTTTGCAGAATTTTGACGATGTATTGGTTCCTTGCTGATCATGTAACCAGGAGTTATAATGATACGTATTATGTTGATTCCCAACATGTCTTGAGGTGCCATACAAGTGCTCACCAGGCAGAATTATTAAGGAAGGGCCATACTCATTTTCTCGTAACTGGAGATGTCTATCGTAGGGATTCAATTGATTCAACTCACTATCCTGTATTCCATCAGGTTCCACACCAGCTCTAGTTCTTGTAGCTGTCTTTGAATAATTCTGCTTTAGTTTTTGTTCCTGGCATTCTTTCTTTCTTTTTTCTTCTTAAATTTTAATGGTTGTCTAAGTAAATAGATGGAAGGAGTTCGAGTTTTCTCACCAGATGATTGGGTGGGTTCTGGCATAGATGCAACTTATACTTGGCCTTAGATCTTTAATGTATGTCATGTACAGGTGAGGTGGAAATGCGCTGGGTTGACACTTACTTTCCATTCACTAATCCATCATTTGAATTGGAGATTTATTTTAAGGTTCGTCAGTCCCCCGATCTCTAAACTATTTAGTATGCATACACACACACACATCTTCTTTGTTAAAACTAGATACACAGATGCTCGAATTCTCCTTGGTTTTCTTTGTTAAAACTAGATATATCAGGAACCGAACCATTCGGGTTCCTGATATTTCCTGATATTTCTTGTTTGCTTGTGTCCTTATGTTACACTCAGGGTGATGAGGAAGAAGATGAAGGAGAAGAAGAGGGCTTGAGTAAATGTATAGGGAAGGAGTTGAAAAAGCTTCTGTAGTGTCATAGTCATTGTAATTAATTTATGTTAAAGTTTGTAAACAATTTATGTATCTCTCTACTATTTTGGTGAATGTATTATTTGAATATAATGAGATTTGATATTAGAATATAATTAGATTGTGTTGGATATGAATATAATTTTTTGTTATTTAATATTGTGTACATAAACCTAAAGTAGATTCTGCAAAAAAAAAAAAAAAAACTACTGTGGCAAAGCATTCTAGACGGAAATTCCGTCTAGAATGCTCAAATTCCGTCTAGGATGCCATTTTAATGGAAAAAAATAAAAAAATTAATTCCGTCTAGAATGACTATTCTAGACGGAATTTCCGTCTAGAATAATTATTCTGGATGCTCAAATTCAGTCTAGAATACCTTTTTTAAAATAAAAAAAATTAAAAAAATCAATTTCCGTCTAGAATGAGTATTCTAGACGGAAATTTCCGTCTAGAATACTCATTCTAGACGGAAATATTTTCCATCTAGAATGCATTATTCTAGACGGAAATTCCGTCTAGAATAATCCGTCTAGGATGTATTCTAGACGGTTTTGAATTCCGTCTAGAATATTCCGTCTAGGATGTATTCTAGACGGAATTTCCGTCTAGAATACTACATCCTAGACGGAAATAAACTAGACGGATATTCTAGACGGAATTCCGTCTAGGATACACATCCTAGACGGAATTCTGTGTATCCTAGACGGATTTTTCCGTCTAGGATGCCCAGTTTTTTAGCAGTGTAAGTTATACAAACATGAACAACAATGTTAACCTGTCCTTTTATTGTGTCAGTTCTCCTGAAAACTGTGCTAGAAGAAGAAAACAATGGTTACTCAAACATACGAACGAATGAAGAATGGACTAGGAAATTGAGAGAGAGAGAGAGAGAGAGAGGGAGAGAGAGAGAGAGAGAGATGAGAAGGATTTAATTATGGTAGAGTCGTATCATTGCAAGCTCAATGCCTAGCTGTAAGGCCAATGAAGGAGGGCTAAAAAGAGACGATGAGAAATGAAAATAGAGAAGGGCATGGACATGTAATAAAGGATCAGAGGAGATGAATAAAGAGATAATAGAAGGGATATTTGTTGGCATATGAATTAACAATTGTATTGTTGAGGGCAGTAGTAAGCACCAAGCGTGGTAGTATGCACCAAGCGTGGTACTATGATTGCTGTAGATGTTACAAAAAACAGTAATGTTACACTCATAAGGGTCAATTACTTGGGAACATGACCAAAATAGTTTTATCAAAGTATTTACAAAAAGATATTTGAGTCTACTAACTGGATAAATCCTAAGCAGGGAAAACATAACAAGTTTAACTAAGCTTTAAAACTAATGCAAACTTCAAATTTTCGAGCTATATCCATAATCTAGAGATAGTTTAAGTACAATATTTATGTCGATAACTATTGAAGAGGATTAGCAAAAGAGGCATATTGAAGAGTTTTCTAAGACATGCATACTAGTGCCTAGAGAGTGCACCTAACAAGCCATTGGGGAACCTATGAAACAAAGTTTGTACGTTACAATTAGTAACTTAAGAACACAGGAAAGGTTTATTATTTACAGAAAGGAGCCTCCTTGTCAGAAAAAGCTAGCCTATACCACAAAAGGAGGTCCATTTAGAGCACAAGTCTCCATGGAATCGAGTCAAATTTGTAACCAGTTTCAACCTTAAAACAACTATCTAAGCTGGTCCATAATTCCTAGCAGAAAATTATGCACAAATCTTCAAAAGCCAGGCTTTGTAGGAGATTCACCCTTTTTTTTCGCGATATAGTTTAATATCATGCAACCAAGAAGCAGCCCTACACCACTCACCTCAACTAAGAGAGGAGCCTTAGAAGAAAATAAAAGATGATATATTCTATAAGAATTTGACAGAAAAGCACAAGACTTTTTTATAATTTAAACTTTTGAGGATGTTTCTATAATTTTTAAATATTGAGGGTGTTTATTGCAAATTTTAAACTCGGTGAAGGTTGCTATTAATATCCAAATTTCATGTTTATCATTTAAAGTTTTTAAATGTCACAGTGTTTTGTGTAATTTTAAACTTTTGAGGATATTTTGTGTAAAATTTGGAACTTTTTAGCTTTTTCATAACGCTTCATGCATTAAAGTATGTTAGCCAAGTAAGATTCCAGATATCATGTTTGTTATTTTAAGTTTTGAAATGTTAATGTTTTTGTGTAATTTTAAACTTTAAAGGGTATTTGGCAATTTTTGAAAATTTTTGATTTTTTAATACTTCATGCATTAAAGTATGTTAGTTATGTATGATTTCCGGCAATTTTTGAAAATTTTTGATTTTTTAATACTTCATGCATTAAAGTATGTTAGTTATGTATGATTTCCTTACCTTAATAAACTAATATCGTGAATTAATACTTCATGCATTAAAGTATGTTAGTTATGTATGATTTCCTTACCTTAATAAACTAATATCGTGAAGTTGTTTCATGTACTTTATTTTTTTTTTAAATTGTTGAGATATAGTTTGTCCATGGGGAATTAGGTTAGGATATAAGTATGATTAGATTAGATTAAAACGTAAATAAAATATTCAAATTAGTAAAGTGTAATATTGACCGTGGAAAGTGTTTCCCAAACTCATGCTTTTAAAGGGAGTATGATACAGACATATACATGTGTGTGTATGTGTGTATACATATACATATACATACATACATACATGTATAGCCTACTTAAGCCAAGGCCCACAATTATTTTTCTTATGACAAGCTTGATTCCTAGGCCCATCTACTTACTAAATTTTTTTTAAAAGGCCCAGATAGCTTTAAAGGAAGAAAAAAAAGAAAAAACAAGAAAAACCCAAGCTCCCCAAAAGTAACTGCCCAAATCCTCTATTGCGGGAATACCTCATGAAGTGGGGAAACTACCGGGAAAGAAAAACAAATCGGAAACTAAATCCCTCAAATCTTGGGAAATCTCTAACTAATCTTATCTCTATGGAAAGAAAAACAAATCGGAAACTAAATCCCTCAAATCTTGGGAAATCTCTAACTAATCTTATCTCTATGTAGGCTGTCTAAAAATCACAACAGATAGCTGATCCCCATCAAATACCAATGATGGAAGTTATAATTCGACGGCTTCCAGAAGACTATAATTTAAAGACTTTCACGTAGATCGATGAAGGTTACAATCTGACGATCTTCACAACAACTGATGAAAGCTCTAATCAACAGCCTTCACAATCAACATCAAGAGTTACAATTTGACGACTCTCACATATCAAAGAGCTAAAGCAAAGATTACAAAATGACGATCTTTGAAATGCTTTGACAGAAAGAGACTACAAATCGACGGTCTCTTCAAACTAAGACACGGAAGTCCTCCCCGTGTACCAGCATCAAGACACATCGCGTTCACAGCCGCTGACACAGTGCAAATGAAGCTCACATTCAGCTCCAAATGCTACAAACATAGCTCAGATCCAGCTGCCAACACAGTTCATGTTCGGCCGCAAACGCAGCCTCCGAAAGCTGCCAACGCAGCTTCCATCCACTGCCAAATGCAGCTTCTATCCGCTGCCAAATGCAGCTTCCAAGCTACCAAACGCAGCTTCTAACAAGCTGCCAACGTAGCTTCCAGACGCTGCAAATGAGCTTCCAGACGCTGCGTCCGAGCTTCCAAATGCCGCGTTCAAGCTTTCAGACACTGCGTTTAGACGCAGAATTCACGCCAGAATGCGGATTTTGTGTTTGACTCGTTCAAACACGAGCTAAACGGTTTCAAAACCGTTTCCCACGATCTGAGGGGATCACAACTCTATTCAGGAGTGATTTAAGGGGCGGTTACACCCCATTAGCCCCACGGAGGAGCGAATTAAGGGGGCAGTTACACCCCTTAATCCCCTATAAATAACTAAGAAATCAGCTTAGTTCAGGGCTGGATCTTTGATCTTTCTTTTTGGGCAGCAAAAAAGAGATCCTTGGCTAGCTTTTGGATCCTTCTCCTGGGCAGCAAAGAAGAGATCATTGGTTTGTCTAACCAATTACGGTTAAGATCAATCAACTCATCAAGAGTTCTAAAACTTGCTTTGCAAGTTCTCCACAGCGTCAAATCGTAAGGAGAAGACCATGTTCCAGTGAATAAAGACGTACGGATCGTCAACGGAGAGCAAACTCGACGCGAGCATTTGAGGGAGGCACTCCATCGCCACCGTGAAGAACTCAGAATTAAACAAAGGGGAGAATCCAGATTAATTCTCCTCTCTTTTGTAATCAGAAAATCCAATTGTAATCGAGATTAAAGGAATACAAATCAATTTTCCTTTATTTCTTTTACTGCAAATTTTTCCACAAACACTCTATTTCATAAACTCTCCTTCAAAACCTTTTCTTTTCTCTACCGATTCTCTACACCCGTCTGGAAAAAAAAAGGAGAAGAAAAAGAAGGAGAGATGGCATCGGTTATAGTTGAAGAGAGAAGAAGGACATTTGATTTGGAATTTTTCTTGGGTTGGTGTTCTGACCCATTACTAGGCAAATTGGCAAGCATCTTTCTAGCTGTTTTTCCTTGTTTCTTTTTTTTCTTGTTTTGTTAGGTAGTATGAAATTTGAGATTTAGGGTTAATTGAGGCTTTCTGTAGTTGCTTTGCATATCGATATTTCTAGGAAACTTCAACGATTTGACATGATTTTGTGATTTGTATCTCTCATTAGTTTTATGATTATGTTTACAAATGATCTGCACTAGCTAGTTTTTGATTCCGATGGTTACACGTTCGACATATATGGAAGTTTTCGCCACGGTGTCAAATTTCACAGTCATAGATATTTCATTAGTTCCAAGTGTTCATCTCCTTGCTTGTTTTACGAATCCTATAAGTTTCATTCTTCTAAATCAACTTCATATCTTATTCGTTTGATCCTGATCTTTAGTATTAAAGATTGTTTCTCTAATCTTTTAGCACACGATTAATAAATCACAGATTAGTTATGTTTATCAAGGTATAATGGCTTGTTTCATTGGATTTAAGTT